GTGTGTCTGCGTCTCTCTCTGTGTGTATCCTTCCGGTATGTCCGTCCTTCCCTGAACTACAAGCCACACTTGAGCGACCTGAGCGGGGCTTCCTGGGTCCTCCTCCACCTCTTGCTGGCCCCTCTGCAGGAGCCCCAGTGGCAGGCTCCGGGGGTGGGGCTGTGGGGATCACAGTGGGTCATCATGGGGCGTGGCCCCAACTCTATGCCTGTTGAGGCCCCATCTCCCCACCACCTTAGCCACATTGGTGGGGTGGACTTGGGCTCCCGTGGAGACTGTTGTTCCTGAGCCTTGAACTCACCCCTGCTCCTGGCTTCTCCTATCGCCGAACCCCTCATTCCCTCTGTGTGACCCTCACTGCCACCCCCGTTTGGGCTCTGTTCATTTATCATTTGCTGGACTCTGTCCTGGGTTCTTGGGATTCTCTTGAAAATTTAGGATGTTGACCTCCACTCCTCCTCCTGGAGAGCCTACTGGATTTTTCTGTTTGGTCTCCCCTACTCCCTTGGTTCCTGGGGTTCAGGAAGGAACTGATTTCAGACCCTGAATGAGAGTTAATCAGGTTGTTCAGTCAGAGCAGTGCGCATGCCCAGGGTGGGTCCAGGTTCCCCCCCGACCCTGTTCTGGGTTGGTGTGGAGAGGGAGAAGGGCCTCTTTCCACTGGGATTGCTGAGGGCTAGGGAGAGCTCTGGTAGCTATTCTGCCCCCACTGAGAGCAGAGCAACATGAGAGAGAGCTGAGCAGGGAAGGTGGAGAGGCCTTGTCCGACTGTTGGCCTCTTTGAGCTCCTGGATGTCGCCATGCCTGAAGGCCTTGGACTGCTTGGTTATAGGAACCTGTTCACCTTTTCAGTTGGGATTCTTGAATTCAAACAGACTTGAAGCTTCGACAATGACTTTGCTCCCTCAAATCAACAGTGAACTCATGTCCAGACCCAGTTCCTGAACCCCAGGGAAGGTTAGAAATCATCTACAACTTGCCTGAGGAGAAGTACAGAGAGGCTCAGTTTTATCTAAAACTAGAAATTAGCCTCTTACAGTGAACAGGTGTCATTTTTTGCCAAATGAGCTACATTCCTAGGTGTTGTGTAAGGCACCTACCTCATAATTTACTCCGGGGTCTGTCTAGCACATCTACGGGAGAAATTTCCCTCAAGGAAAGGATGTCACAAGATCTAGGCTCTGTAAATGCTTGCGAAGAAAGGGCTGTGGTCCTCTAGCTAACATGCCAGAAAAACGTGGCTCTGGAAAGAAACAGTCTTGCGTGGCTGTGAAGGTCTGTGCTACATAATAAGTGACTAAGATTCAAGAGCAATGGCAGCAGGCCGTCACAGGCTCATACACTGGGAATTAGTAAATTGCCCTCCTTTCTCAAGGTAACTGACCAGAGAAACACGGCCAACAAATACACAGCTCCTGTTTATTTGAGCACGGCCTCTGATGGATGTCCAGGCCACATGGTCACATACCTATAAGCCACACCGGCTCCAAAGTTGGTGGTGGACACACCGAGGCAGCCACACAGCTAACAGGCCAGAAGAAGGGAGGGCAGGGGCCCCTCTCTCCCCAGAGACAAGACCGGGGCCTTAGGGCTCTTCCCTCAGTCCTTCTCTTCCCCGTGGGTGATGATGTGCACCAGGTTCTTATAGTCCAGGTTGCCGGTTACATCAGGTGGGAAGGCAGCGAACATCTGGTCAACCTGTAACCAACCAGCAAGTCACTGAGGAGACGGGAGGGCCAGGAGGAGGGGGCTGTCCGCAGGGCAGGTTGCAACACAGAGGCAGCTTGAGGTATGTAGAGATGCCCAAGTAGCCTCTGCCTGGCAGGTCACGCTACTCCAGCTGCTGCAGCGAGCCGCGGGGCTCAAGCTTCCAGGGGCAGCCCACAGACTACTGACCAGTGGGGCCCACGGGGGCCTCCGGAAGGCTTTTCCGGTTTCTAGGCTGCCCTGGGGCAGGTGTGGAAGGGTAGGCCTGACTGTCTTTGGCTCAACATCTTCCTGCCTGCTTTCCTTGGCAGACACTGGCCCCACAGATGTCCTGCAGGGGTGTTTCTGGGCTCGTGGATGGCGGGCACAGTGTGCCGAGGGGTTGGGCGTGAGGGAGCATGGTGGGCTGGTGAGGTCCGTAGTCATGGGAGACTCACAGTCAATGTACGGAGAGGCAGCTGCTCAGAGAAGCCTAATGGGCCTTGGGGGCATCAAGGACAGATTTTTGAGGGAATCTAATTCCGGAGGGAAACTGGAAATCCAGATTTTTTTTTTTTTGAGTATGGAAATTCTTGATTTTAAAAAAAAATAGTGGCTAAAATAAGTTAATTGCAACATTAAAGTATTGGCTAGTTATTTTAAAAAATACGCATCGGCCTGTAACAGGGCACTTACACTGCCCTTACCACATGCAGCACTTTGTACATATGCGAGCCGGTGATGCAGGCCCCTCGTGTCCCGCTGTGCAGATGAGGAAACTGAAGCACAGTGAGGTCAAGGAGCTCAGCCAGAGTCCCCAAGCTGCTGGGAGGAGAGGCAGGCTCTTTCACCTGCTTGAAGTTGGGATAAAAATCTAAATCAAATTTTTAATAAAATGTGGAACTGGTGGACTCCGACTGTTGAAAGCAGACCCATTCAAGTTCATTAATAACTAAGCTTTCAGGGCTGTTGCTTGCTCACAGGAACTTTTGTGGAAGGAGTAAAAGTGCCCCTTCTCCCAGAAACATTCTTGCCACCTGCCAGAAAATTACAAGACACTTTACTGCCACCTTCTAGGAAACTATGCAGCAAGTGTACGTAGGCAATGAGGTCCAGCACCACAGGACCATCGACAGCACTGCAACCCCGATGCACTCTTGCTCTGTAGGGAAACGGATGCCCGAAGCAGGGCTCTGTGGTGGCGAGGAAGGCAGACTGGAGTCCTGAAAGACCCGGGCTCGGATCGAGCCTCAGCATTTTCCATGAGCGTTTTCTTCTCATGTGAGTTGGACCTCGACATCTCTATTTAGAAAACAACCGCACGGCACATCCCTGCCTCGTAGGGTGATTGAGAAGCGAGGTGAGACACGGGCTCAGTAACTACAGCAGGTTTGCTGTCAGTGAGGGTGAGGGTGTTTCAGAGGAGTGAGGAAGATGGAGTTCTGGCGTGTGGGGTGTCTCAAGGGTGCTGTTACCTCATCCTTGGAAAATCTCTCTGCCTGCGTGGTCAGCATCTCCTGAATGCTACACAGAGAGAGAGAACAGCAGGCATTGGCACCAGGTATGGGGCAGGGGGAAGCCAGGGACCCCCGAGTGCACCCCACAGATCTCACTCACTAGTCAGCCTTCAGCACCCCCTTGCCTTCGGGGTCAAACACTTTGAAGGCGTTGAGAATGGTCTCTTCAGGGTCTGCCCCTGAAACAGAAGACAGGGTGAGAACATACCACGGTGACTTGGAACTGAGTGCCCCAGGAGGCAGGGCCCAGCCCCCCAAGATGAACAGCTGCTTCACCGGAGGCCCTAGCCCTGAGCCTTGGGCTGAGACTGGTCTCTGAGCAAACCCAAGGTCAAACGTGGAACCAGATCTGGAAAGACCAGGATTGGCATCCTGACTCCAGCCAGCTGTGTGGCCACAGACAAGTGGCATTCTGTCTGGGCGCCTCTGTCCTCTTCTGGAGACGGGTCAGGACAGAAACGCCCTCCAGCGCGGTGTGAGGCCACGCTCAGAAAGCCTGAGGCCAGCCTGGGGAAGGGAGCTCGTTTCCCGTGTTGGCTCGCCTCCCCTTTCTCCCGCCCCATCTGTTCCTGTAGTGCTTTGCTTTACGTGTACGATGAAGATGCCCTAGGACAGACATGGGCACGCACACACACCTTACCCTTAAGTTTCTCCCCAAACATCGTCAGGAACACAGTGAAGTTAATGGGACCCGGGGCCTCCTTGATCATCTCATCAATTTCCTCGTTTTTCACATTCATGCGCCCTAGGGTGGGAAGTGCACACTCAGGGCCCCTGCGCTGGGACAGCCACAGATTAGGACAAGGCACTTGTCTTCACTCCAGGGAATCTGGTCTGGGAACAATTAAAGTGGACGGGGCCAAAGATCCACGCGCTGTTCTTGACTGTTACTTATAACAGCCAGACAACTGGAATCAGCCGAGTGTGAGGAGGGCTCATTCAGAATAGTGTCTTCAGAAGCTGCGCCCTTTATGCAAATATTGGAATATTTTACTCAAAGGCAAACGCTTTTATTATAAATGAGCCCTTCTCAGTTGGAGGCGGGAGTACAGAGAACAATCACTTGCAGGAGCTTTTTAAAACCGCCTTCTGGGCCCTCCCTGGGGGCGCAGCCGGTTAAAGCGCAGCACTGAGAAGCTTAAGCCGCTTCCGCATGAGTTCGATCCCCGCCTGCCCCAGAGGTGACCACGGGGCGCGGCAGGTGACCTCTCCTGACCCGCCCGCTGCTCCCTCAGCAGTGGACTTCGTCGATCTGCCTGTTCTGCTCCCCACTCTGTCCCTGGTGAATCCTCTCACCCTCCGCATCTCTGGCCTGTACCCCAGTTCTGTGTGAATAAATCAAAAAATAAATCTTTAAAAAGAAAAGAAAACCCGCCTTCTATAGCCCACACAGCCTCAGAGGTTCTGAGCTGCCAGTGCTACTGCTGCTGACGGAGTACCTTTCTACAAATGCAGAAAGTCGCCCCTTCTTCGGATAAGTTATGCTTTAAGCACAAAAGTCCATCGCAACTACAAATAGGAACGTTACCTCGTTGAATTTGGCACTACACAACTTGTTCATGGCCCTGAGTTCTGGGGCAAGGTGGGGGTGGACGTGAGTGGAGGCAGACGGGACGTGATTGTTTGGAGAAGAGCTCCATGCACCTGCTCACACTGCTGAGAGAGCTGTGGAGGGCTGTGGACAAATGCCTTGTCCCAAGTCCTCAGTAGAACAACCCCACTTGTGACAATAAGACCCCCAAAACCAACAATGCATGAAAAAGATTAGCCTGGAAAAGACTTAGAGGCTGAAAATTAGCCAGGAACATGACCTGATGGGTAACATTTTCATCTTTATACTTTCTCTGAATTTTCCAAGTTTTCCAGCACGTGTTGGCTCTGCACTCGAACACACACAAAAACGCTATTTTAAAAGAAAAATTGGTGAAAGCACTCTAGACTAAACACCGCTTTCGAGCTGCTGAAATTTGTCTTAAAGGCCAGTGGCTGAGCTGCTAACTTGGAAAACAAAAGCTCCCAATCTTCCGCAGCCCACCGCACCCGCCCAGGCCGGCCTCGAGGGCTTCACGCACCAAGAGCAGCAAAGGTGTCTCTCAGGTCGTTCTTGTCGATGAAGCCGTCCCTGTTCTGGTCCATGATGGTGAAGGCCTGGAAAGGGAGACGGCTCGTCAGCCCGGAGATGGTGGGGAGGGGACCCCAAGGGGCTGGCTCACAGGCTCGGGAGGGCGGACTCTGGGTTTCAAGGGGCAGGGGAGGTGTTGGGTCAAGTCAATGGGGCAACAGCCTCCCTAGAAGGAGACCACTTCAGAGGTGACATTTCGCCCCAGGAATTCCTGGCTCTGGAGGTCTCTGGGACACAGGACTCCTGAGATCGTGAGATCTGAATGCTCAGGCATGTTCAGTTCCCATGTAAGCCCAAGGGACTTCCCTTTGCTCGGACACACACTGGCCTCTGGCGGCTTTCGCTCGCTTCCCGGAAGGGCCAGGAGGGTGTGGACGCCGGTGGAAGCCCACAGGCTGGAGAACGAAGTCAGCCGTGCCTGGCTTCCGCCGCGGGGTGGCTTCAGCTCACCCAGCTGCCTGTGGGGTTACTTCGTCCCCTTGGGCTGTGACGGGGTTTCAGGCCCGACTAGGGTCCAGTGATCGAAGACCGTAAGATTTAAAGTCCAAGGGGTGGTGCTTTTCCTGTCTCAGACTGGCAAAAGTCTCCAGGCGGTTAATGCCCCGTGCTGACGGGGGCCAGCGGGGTGAGGAACCCGCCCGTCTGGGGCATGAGTAGGCGACTCTGCAGGCCGGTTTGGGCCGCGGTTCTCATTCCTTTTTTCCTCCTGACGTTCCTTTGACCCAGCTGATGTGCTTCTAGGAATTTACTCCAAGGAAGTAAGAGATGCTGGGGAAGGTGTGTTCCTTTTACTAGCGAGACACGTCGGAAGTGGTTTGAGTAAATGATGGAAACAGCGAGGCTGAATCATTGAAAGAAAAGGCCAGGGGCAGCGAGGCGGAGCCTTTGTAGAACACAGGCACCAGGCACAGCAGTGGCCTGAGGCTGCCTACCAGATTTTAAAAAAAAAGGTCAACAGATGATCTGTGGGTGCTAGAATCCTAAGTCATTTTTAGTTTTCTCTCTGGGTTTCTGAAAAAATTCCCCCATATGTTCAACAAGAGACAGGCTTCACCCTGACATCCAGCACAAGTTCGGGAAAATGGTGCGCACATACTCAGGCTGAATTTGGTGCTGCCTGGAGCATGGCGTTCTTGGAGTAAGAGGTCCCTGCGGGGGGGGGACGGGAGGCGGGCGCTCTGACACGGGGGGCAGGGGACCCCGCTCCAGGCAGCTACTCCACAGCTACACTCACCTCTTTGAATTCCTGGATCTGGGTCTGTTCAAACATGGAGAACACGTTGGAGTTGGCCCCCTCCACTCTCTTCTTGGCTTTCTTAGGTGCCTGGGGCGGGGGGGGGGGAAGCATCAATTAAGAGTCACCTCAGCGGCTGTGAAATGGGCAGTCTGTCCACTCTGCCTCACGAAGGCCACGGCAGGGAGGGGCTGTCCATGATGCGCCCCGGAACACCGGGTTCTGAGGCGTTTGAGACAGCGGCCCCTTGGAAACCCGGGAGCTGGGGAGCGCCTCGGGGATGCCCCAGCGGCACCCGCACTCTGGATCCGAAACGTTTCTCAAAACGTCCAGCGATGCAGAGAAGGAAATGGATTGTGTGTCAGGAAGTGGGAGCCGGCTCGCTGAGCCCCGAGGAAGGCGGAGACGGACGGGGCGACACTTCAGGCGGCTGGAGCCCGACTGCTACCTCCGCATGTCCCCGGGTCAAAATGGTGGTGAAAGCTCTGACCTCTCAAACAGCAAGGCTGGGGTTGGCATTTCCCCTCGCCCTTCTTCTCTCTGACTTTAATTTCAACCAATGCCCCAACACTGCAGATAACACTGTCTCAGTCCTCATCTGCCCGTCCTGTTCCCAGGGAGGCTGGGGGTGGCGGGTGGGGGGAGCTCAGAGAGCGTGGGTCACTTGCCAGGGAGCCAGTGCTGGACTCGGGCGTCTGACTTCAGGGTCTGTGCCCCTAAACGCTCTCCTTTGTGTCCCTGACTTGGGGGGATTCTGCTTGGGGAGGGAGACCCCTAGCCAAACCACACAGGGAGAAACGGTCTAAATTTGCAAGTTCAAAAGGTGAAAGCCAATAGATTCTCTTCCCCAACCGCCTGAGCAAGAGACAAGAATTACAATTTGATCCTTAAAAGCGGTCAATCCCATTTTGCAGGCCCTGGGAGTTATCGATTCCTCTAGAGGTCAGTCGACAAGCCATAAAAAAGCCAACTCTCTTATTTTGTTTTTGTGAGTCCCCGGGAGATGCTGTTATTTGTGGCTTATCGGGCATTGATTGGGGTTCCTCTCTGCACGGCCGCGAGCAGCACACTTTCCACCAGGGTCTGGGGCACTCCCGCTCCCTTTGGGTCCTTGGCTTGACGGGGGACCCGCTGCTTCCCCAGCCCAGGGAGCCCTGACTACTCACCATGGTGGAAAGGACGGACCTGCTGGCCTGGACGAATCCCTCAGGCTGCCCTCGCTCCTCCGCCTGGAACAATAAATACCTCCTCCCGGTGTTTAAAAATAACCTCATGACCACTTTTGGCAGAAATAGGTGAGCGGACACCACCTAAGCCCCCTCCCTCTCCCCCATGCCGTTCTTCTGAAGTCAGGGCAGCCTACCAGCCACTGGGTGACACGTGAGACCCAAAAATGCATTCAAGGTTAAAGAGGGGGGCTGGGCCAGGGAGGGAGATGCCGCAGCCTTGGCGTGGGCGTGCTGGGCGGGAGGCCCTGTGCCGGCCACTTTGGGGAGGGGAACGGTTCCCTCCTGACCTCGCAGGGCGGAAGCTCGGCTCCTTTGCACCCGCTGGCCCCGGGGGCCACCCGGACGCCTTCCCAGCCAGCATCAGCTCCGCTCTTCCTCCTTCAGTCCATCAGGCTGTTGCCCCACCACCTCCCCAGGGAGGCCTCCGCCACCCATTTCAAGGGGCCACTGCCCCCTGCAGACCCTGCTCGCCTTCTCTCCACCGCAGGCAGCACTTTTTGTGCAAGTCGGAGACTCCCATTGTCCTTGCACAGCACCTAGCTGAAGTGCAGATCCTCTGGGAGGTGGCTGCCCCCCACCCCCCAGGCCCCCTAGGTCCTCAAGGCCACCTACCCACCGGGGGTCCAGTGAGCAGGCCATCCTCACATCCTTTCTTGGGGGGAACGTTTCCAGCGTGGGGGGCACCCCCAAGGGCACATTCTGCTGTGAACGAAGGTGTGGGGTTTTCTCCTCACCCCAGTCACACGGGGTCAGAATGCCCCAGAGATGCTGCCTGTGGGCTCTTTAAAATCGAAGGTAGGCTTTCCTGTGTGCACACGCGTGTGAGCAGCGCGAGTGGCTGTCCCCACGCACAGGCGAGCATGCACGGGGGGAGCACACCCGTGCACCCCACACACGCGGAAGCGGGGAGCGCACACGTCCTCACGCACACGTGACTGGGCCGGGCACACTCGCGAGCGCTGCACACAGGCAGCGCAGAGCAGATTTCTGGCCAAGATTCTCTGACACCGCCGGAATAAATGTTTCCCTGACTAATAGGCGCACCATGGATTTTCGTTAAAAAGCTGTGCGAGCCGTCGGCAGCTGTAAATGCCCCAGTGAAAAGGTTGTTGCAGCTTCAGGGAAGTGGAGAGCGCACTGGGGTGGGGAGCCCCTGGTTCAGATGGTGGGTGGCCAGGCCCCCAGAGGCGGCAGGAGCACGTGTGTCCCTGGGGGGTGCCCACAGCCTGGGCCTCTTTTTATTTAGCAGTGCTTTTGGAAAGGGCGCTGGGTTGCAGGGTTCAGCCGGGAGCAGTGGGGCCTCAAGCTCCCAGAGCCTCAGGTTCCGGCCAGAAAGGGAGGGCATAGCCCCGCTAGGAGGGTGCAGCGCTAGAGCCTGCGTGTCTGGGCATCTGGGAGCTCGGTGCCCCGGGGGGCAAGAAGCCCGGGCTGCAGGACCTGCCCTTCCAAAGCTGTGGGTTCGGCTTTAGGCTCTCTGCTGGGAGAACAGGACCCCAGAAGTCTCCCCCTCGCCGAGGGGCCAAGCACCGGGCACAGCCCCCCCAGGGAGCGGAGATCTGGAGATGGCTCCATGTAGACCTGGGCATGCATGAGAGCACCAACCGCCTGAGCGCGGGCGAGGCTGGAGGGAGCTGAGCTGAGACAGTTCACTCAGCAGCAGGCCCGGGGAAGGGGCCTCCTGCTTTCTGCTGCCTGCGGGGTTCTATCCCCGTCCAGCCACCAGATGTAGTTCCATGGAGCTGAAGAGAAAGACCGCATGCTGCCAAGCCAGAGTGAAGCGCTGGGTAGGACCAGCAGACTAGCAGCTTCTAGAACAATCAGGAGGCAAACTCCCCCTGGGTCAAGCAGAAGGCCGGGTGGGCCCGATCACGGCACCACTGAGCGCCTGGGAGAGCCCAGCTGAGCCGCACCAGGAGCAAAACAAAGAAAACCCTCAAACCCAGAGTTTGGGGGGGGGGGATGGAGTTGATTGATTTTTTTTTTTAGATTTTTTTTAAAGGAGTAAAATAGTCAGTAGAGAGAAACAATGCCGTGGGGAGTTCTAACCATTTAATACTGTTTTTATCTTTCATTTCACATGTCAGCATCTTTCAGTTTTAGCTTTTTAAAAATGGTTTTCATACTCCCAGCTAAAGGGCATTTATGAATTCATTTCTTTTGCAGGTGCTTCTTCCCTTGAGCTCCTGGTATTCAAGTCTTAGTCACTCCCCTAGTGTCCATGGCTGTTTTATGAAATTCTTCTGCACACGGAGCGTGAACGTATTCGTGTCAGAAACGAGTTACTCTCGTAACCCACAATGAGGGCAGAACCTGCCTGGGACGGCACCTGCCACTGGCTGAGGGTCGACGTGCTGGGGCCCAGTGTCCCTGTGAGGAGGGCGGTGAAGCCAGGCCTCTTCCAGGACAACCACGGCCGAGCGCCTGCCAGCCCAGAGCTGGGTGGCTGATGGACTCTGTCACCGAGCGATAGCGCCTGTCTCCCGTGTCAGGGCCGCCTGGTGTCGGGGATGGCTGTGACTGAGTTGGGGGGCTCCGCACAAGTCCTGGGCAGACCAGGCCTGGAACTGGGCATGAGTCGGCCTTCTGGACAGGGCGCCCACTGGACACACAGCTAACTTGGATCGGCCTCAGTGTCTTCATTTGTGAGGTGGGGGTCATAGTTTCCATGCTTCAGAGCATCCTTGCAGATTAAGTAATAATTGCACAATGCTGGGATCCAGCGGCCACACAGGGCTGATCCCGGATGCTGGCTCCCGGCCAGGCTCGGGTTGCTGGGGAGGGGGCAGACAGATAACATGTTCAAATACAAATTCACGTTCTTTCATTTTCTTCTCCCAAATTCTTTTCCATTATCGACTTCACCACTTTTTGGCCACTCAGACCAAAGTCCCCAGCCAGCTTGATTCTGCCCCATTGGCAGCAAAATCTATTTTGCCTCTAAAATGTCTTGTAAATCCATTTCCCTGTACCCCTTGTCTGGCCTGTGATCATAGCTCTCTGTTGGCCTGGGGCCTCCTCTCTGTTGCCTTTTCACTTCTATGTTTCACAAATATGTTCCCTATGCCCTGCTCTGGTGAGCACCTTTGATGGTTCCCTACTACTGGAGAGGGACTCTCCCCTCCTTGGCCCTACAGTTAAGATCTTTTACCACATGACCCTGACCCTACCGGAATGGTGCAATGACTGGAAGCTGGGTTCCAGGCCAGCTCCTCTACTTCCTTGATTGTGAGCCTTGCACATGTCTACTTAATCACCCCTAACCTTAGATTCCTTGACAAGTACCGAGGAGGAAGGGTAACAATGGTAACAATGGTAACAATGGAAACAATGGTAATGACTTTAGAAGACTGTTTTAAAAGTACAGCTAGATACTAGTGATACTAATGACAGCTGCTAACATTTACTGTGTGCTTGGTCTTGACTCTGTCCCAAGGGCTGCCCATGAGGTAACTCACAGGAGGTGTGGAAGGAGGGAGTGGGCAGCCTTATTTCCTGCTCCATTCCCCACCTTACCCCCCCAGGCCACTCTCACAGAGTTTAAGGGGAAGATGTTTCCTGACTCTGGTTGTGCTTCGAGCTGCTGTCAAGAAAGACTTCATGGTGGAGGAAGTCACACACAGTCGGCTGACACTAGCACCCTGAACGCCCCCCTGGGGGGCGGGGACCTGACCCATTGTCTTCTCTCATCCCCCCAGCGCTGTGAGGAGGCTACTAGTATTCAACCCATCTCCCAGATGGGGAAACTGAGGTTCAGAGAAGCGTGGTCACTGCCCAGGGCCCCATCGCTAGTGCCTGGCATCCCTGGGATTTGAGCCCAGAATGCAGATTCCACCCCAGCTTCCTCTCCTGCAGTTCCAGGGTCTGGGGATCTGGCTGCCAGTTCTCACCATCCCCAGGGGACCCAGAGGTGGGGACCAGCCCCAGGACACCAGACAACCCTTTGGTGGTTTTGTCCATCCTGGGCTATTTTTAGCCCTTGGTCACCTGCCTTGCTGTGGGGGGCCGAGGGTGGGGGGAAGCACTCCGATAATTCCATTTTTACCGGTGCCCTTTAGATGCCCGCCTGCTCTCGCCCCCCCAGAGGCTCAGCTGTCTGGGAGGAGTGCCTGGCGTTCCGAGGGCATTGTTCTCCTGGGCGAGGCCCCGATTCCAGCCGCAGCTGCCACTCCTGCCCTCTCCAGCCACGCCGTCTCTCCTCTGCCCTCTGGAGCCCTTGGCTGAGACTGTGGCGCTCTGACAGCCAAACCTGTCACCAAGGCCCAGCTCTGGAGCAGAATCAAGGCCGTTGGGCCAAATAGTCATCTGACCCCAGGCTCTCGGGTGAAGGACCTTTCAGCGAGTCTTCAGACAACACCCGGCTCTGCAGGGCCGGGCCCCCGGCCCGGGCTCACATTCTGCTCCAGGAGTCTCAGCTGGCTCTGCAGACATGTTGGCCAGATCTTTCTTTGTGATGAGGTGGGGGCTGGGCCCTGGAGGGTGCTGCCCCCAGATGTCCACGGCAAACTTTCTTCCCAAATCCTGACACCAGGATGTTTGCAGACATCACCCATGGTCCCCTTGGGGGAACCACTGACCTAGAGAATTATAACTAGGAGCAGGGGGCAGTCTCCTGGTCTGTGGGCGGGATGGGGGATGGGATGGGGAGAAAGTTTGAGGCCAGACTGGGGCGGAATTCTGCCGCTGCCTGGACTAGAGCATGGGGGCGAGTGGCCTCTCTCAACCAGACCTCCCCTTTCGCATCTGTGAGATGGGCCGAAGGTGCACAGTCCAGCCGCAGAGGGTAACCAGAATTCTACACTTCACCCTTGAATTCGTGTCAGGTCTCTGTGCGCCCCGAGCACTGGCCTGCGGTGAGTGGCCAGCAGTCCCGGTGAAGCCCCTGTGGCCACTCACCGGGTGGCTCCCGCGGTCTCCCCGCTGCCCTCCGATTTCCGCCCTTGACTCTCTGCAGCCTGTTGCCACACAGCCGCCAGCGCGGCCTTTGAAAGAGCAGCGGGTGCGGCCAGAGCGACATGGTCAGCGTTGCTGACGTTTGGGGTCAGGTCATGCTCCGTCCAGGGGCTGGCC